TTGAATTTGGATATTAGGCCATATACAAAAGAGATTGTGATAGTGTAGTGCTTCAAGAAGATGGTGCGAAATACATACATGGGTCGTATCTGAATTTACTTGGCTGCGCTTGAAATTACACACGAGTCTATGTGAAGTGGCTGCAGCCGCTACCATAGACACGAGTGTAACTTCAAGCCGTAGCCAAACAATTCGGACACGGCTTTTGTTTCAGATTAAAAAGTCGCTGGAAGCTCAACTTCCCATTGGAAACGCAACGGGCAAAGTTTGTTAAAAGGTTTCGCATGTATGAACATGTAACAACAAAAATGCGTTTAATAACTACGTAGAAGATTTTCTGAAAACTGGATATATTGAAAATACATTTCGGGATTTAAAGTATTAGGCCCGAGCAATTTTGAATCAACCCAATGATATTCCCTGACCCATAATTGTTGAGTACTTATAAGGATTCGTATATACGCCCCTATCCCCTTTGAAAAATCCTGGATCCTCCGATGAAATGTCCACTAAAAGCCACCTTAATCAAGTCCAATTGTCGAAAACCAACACAAGGATACAAACTTTAAAATGGAAGTTATTCGAGACTAATAACTATCCGTGTCACATATTAGGCAAGGAAATTGAACTCTGCTTTTTCGATGTGAAAACAATTTTGTAGAAGGAAAACTGATATCTTAATAAATCAAACAAAATCCGGGAGAGAAGGATACACCATTAATATTCATGGAGGCCAAGCGGCTCTACACGTTACTTTGGTTACAATCCAATTACTGGGTGAACAAAGTTCGAAAGTAAACTCATTTGGAAGTAAAGGCTATCTAATACCATTGTAAATTTGAAAGTCAGCTGCTCGCACGTCCCTATGAAACGCCAGGAAAGTTTATCCGAGAAGTCCGTAATCCGCCTCGAATGCTAAGCGCCCCTCGATTGTTCAAAACGAATCCCACATCACATTAGTCAACAATTGTTCTGATGTAGCTCTATCTTGGATTCTTTGGATTTTGATGTAATCACGAAAACAAACAGCAGTTAACACAACAAACATGACATGACAATCGAACACCAACTCACATGCATGTCGCGTGCTCGAAACAGCTGATCGTTTGCTAGTTCACTGCTTCCACTCATGTGTGAAAACATGGTGAAAATAGCGTGGGTACCAACGATAGAAGGTTTCAACCATTTCAACCAACGGTAGAAGTGTGTCACCGTCCGTACCGTACGTACGTGATAACCCACACAGGGAGTGTGCCATGACTTTTCATAAGCTTAAAACATAATTGGAAGTTCTTCGAGACTAATAACCCACCGTGTCACATAATAGGCAAGGAAATGGAACTCTGCTTTTTCGATGTTAAACAATTTTGTAGAAGGAAAACTGATATCTTAATAAATCAAACAAAATCCCGGAGAGAAGGATACACCATTAATATTCATGGAGGCCAAGCGGCTCTTACTTTGGTTACAATCCAATTACTGTGTGAACAAAGTTCGGAAGTAAACTCATTTGGAAGTAAAGGCTATTTACATGTAATACCATTGTAAACTTGAAAGTCAGCTGCGTCGCACGTCCGTATGAAACGCCAGGAAAGTTTATCTTAGAAGTCCGTAATTCGCCTCGAATGCTAAGCGCCCCTCGCGGGTGTTCAAAAACGAATCCCACATCACATCAGTCAACAATTGTTTTTATATAGCTCTGTCTTGGATTCTTTGGATTTTGATGTAATCACGAAAACAAACAGCAGTAAACACAACACACATGACATGACAATCGAACGCCAACTCACATGCATGTCGCGTGCTCGAAACAGCTGATCGTTTGCTAGTTCACTGCTTCCACTCATGTGTGAAAACATGGTGAAAATAGCGTGGGTACCAACGATAGAAGCGTTTCAACCATTTCAACCAACGGTAGAAGTGTTTCACCGTCCGTACCGTATGTACGTAATAACCCACACAGGGAGTGTGCCTTGACTTTTCATAAGCTTAAAACGTGATCGTTCTAGGCCAATGAAAATTAAAAATGGAAAAAAAAACCAAACAAACCAGTATTCAAGACAGAGGTATAACAAATTCTATTCTGCTCTATCGCTCCATTGCAGGAGGAAAGCCTCTTCTTAGAATGCCTCTTCATCGTCCATCCAGCTTCGCTTTCGTCTCCCTCTATACTTTTCTATGTCCTTGGTGACCAATTTGTAATCTTTATAGAGTGCACCTATTATTTTGTCTTCTGGCAAAATGTTGCCCGCCCATTTTAATTAATTTGTCTTGATTACACTGATAATCTCTTCTACTCAAGTTCGTCCAAGTTCCTCATTTCTGAACCTATCACTACGTGACATCCCAATAATTATTCTCTGCATTAAGAGAATTGTTGACCATGTCTCCGCCCTCATTATGATAAAACTGGTAGTGTATACGTTGGTTCAAAACTGGCTTCTTCAAGGATAGTGGAAGGTTACTATCTCGCAAGATAATTCCAACGTGCTGATTTTTGCACAAGCGAATTGTGTCCTTCTGGACTTCTGATGTTGTCTGATCCTACCGGCGTAATCATTGAGGTGCTGTGCTTAATGGTCTCCGTGCTCGACTCGTGTGCCTCGGTACATGGGTTCGAATCCTGACCGTGGGAAAATGGTGCTTGTGCTCTTGAGCAAGGCACTTTACCATTATTGCTTCGTCTTTCGGATTGGACATAAAGCCGTAGGTCCCGTGTGTTATATATGGCACGTTAATTAAAGAACCCAGTAAAACTTATCGCTAAGGGAAGGGGTTTGCCCCGGTGTATATGGCAGCAGTGGCTGCTTAGTACGCCACAGCATCTTAAAAACCATATAAAGGTGGTACATAATGGTTCTCATATTTCTTATGTACTTCCTAACACCTGTCTCTAATAACAGACATAATTTTCAGCGCTTGGAGTACCTAATTGTTGGTAGATACGTGCGCTTGATAAGACTCCGGTATTATTATTATTTCGCCCATAAAATATGAAGCTGATGAATGTCTCAACTTTCTCTCCTTTTAGTATAATGTCTCTGGACTGTACAGTGCTATTTCACATAACTTTTGTTTTCTTGATATTCATCTTCAAACATACATCTATACTTTTTTCATTCATGGAGCGTCATCTGCAGCTCCTCTGGACTGTGGCTCAGAAGGAGGATGTCATCAACAAATCTTAGGTTGTTGAGCTGTTCGCCGTCCACCCCTTTGTCTTTCGATCACCAATTCAAATACTGTAAATGTCTTTCATGGCTGCCGTGAATAGCGTGACTGAGATGAGGTCACCTCGTACACATTTCGGAATGCTGAATATCCATAGTGGTTATCTTCCCATCTATATGCACTCCTAGCGCAAGGACCTCTATAGATCTAGCTCAAGTATAAAGTTTGTCTACTTTCTGTCGCTCTCTTGATTGTAAAGGGTACTTAATAATCTTTGGTGGTCGATACTAAAATTGAGTTGATTCAAATACTTCAAATCCAGAAATGGACTTTTGAAAAGATAAAGTGTTAAGAAATCTTAAACGTGGTGCTTAAATGCGGCCCTGTATTCCCCCTGTTGTTTCACGTTCGTGTTTGCAGAACTTTTATGAAACAAACTTTCCCCAAGGCGTATCCGATGGGAAGCTGAGATTCGAGCGACGTTTAATATGAAACTCAATCCACGTCCGAATTACATGACTACGGCTTAATACACTCGTGTCTATGGGCAGCGGCTGCCTCCTTTTCCCAAAGACTCGTGTGTCATTTCAAGCCGTAGCCAAGTCAATTCAGATACGACCCATGTATGCATTTCGCGCCATCTTCTTGAACACTACACTTTCACAGTCTCATTTGCGGATAGGCTTAATATCCAAATTCAAGTTGTTTTCGTCTCTGACGTCATTGTTGGATAATTTCATTTTTCATTTTTATGCAGACTTCTTGTATTATTACGTTGCAAGCCTGCATTCTGAGAATCTGAATTTGAACAGCCCTTCGAGATGTACGTTGTCAGGCACTTTTGGTTCGTTGCGTATGGGCCTTTAGTTTATTTTACGGCCTGCAATTGCTACAGTCACAACAGACGGACTGCAAACGTGCATATGTATTAGAACTTAAGTTTGGAAAAGCGGTAATTATACGATTTTTATTCAAGGGCGGATCCAAGGGGATGGATTGGTGGCTATATAACCAACCCACCGCCTCCGACTGACCTGTGTCATAATGGTTGAATAAAATTCCTTAGTTAACTTCCCTGAATAACGTCATCACTCACTATTACCAATCAGTGGTGTATCCAGAGGGGGCGGGGCACCTTCCACCCGGTAGATTTGTTTGAGAGTAACTACTTCCATAAATTGTTAGAGAATTCTGACGTGCAAAAAACCCTCCAAACCCATATAATTTGTCTGTTACAAATCTGAATACATTGCTTAAGGCTTTTTGTGTATTTTTGTATTGACACATCATCCATCACCCCACCCCTCCTCTTTAAAAAAAAATCTTGGACCTCAACACCCCAACAGCCACACCCCCTTTGGAAAAACCTGGATCCGCCCATGAAATGTCTATCAAAACCCGCTTTAATCAATACCATTTGTGGAAAAAAAACAAGAGGATATAAACTTTAAAATGCACGAGGCAATTCGAGACTAATGATCTACAGGGTCAAACATTCTAGCCAAGGAAATTAAACTATGCATTTTCGATGTGAAAACAATGTTGTACATTAAAAACTGATATCTTAAGTAAGTAACAAAAAACGTCGAGGAAAACACTCGATTAAAATTGCATGGAGGTCAGACGGACAAGATTTCTGATTGAATTCTGATTAGACAACATGATATTTTCACCTGCAGCCTACACACTATGTTGGTAACCATCCAATTAGTGAAACTACGAACATTGCGTCATTGCTGGTAGCCAAATGGACTTATAAAAAGCCTAACACCGGTCAGCGATTTCAGAATTGTGGACGAAAATTCCGACGACTAATCAAATCACGGGATAGATGCGCGCGAGTGTTCTCAGCACATTCAACAGAATTTTGTCAGCTTCTTCGTTTTCAGAATTATTCACATCCATTGACCTATCGAACTCAGAAGCTAAAGTCAATGATTCGTTTACGCTCTTCTCTGCCCTAAAACGCAATCATTGAGCTGATATAATCAGGGAGAGTTGTATAAAGTCAATGCATTTGTCATATTCAATTTACTGTTTTTATTGACTGTTTACTGATTCCCATTTCGCTATTCAGCCATTGTATTTCGGCAGCGTTTAGTCCTGTAATCTCGGTGTTAATTTGGAGCAGATTATCACGTGAGTTTACTACACTTGCGCAATTCGCTTGACCGGAGAAGATTTCAGCTTTAATTGGTAAAACTACACTTCACAGTTTGACAAGCTCCACAATGGCAACAACCTCTGACAACGGGGCATTCTCGATGACAACTGAGATGACTGAATACATGGCAACAAAGTTATCTGATTGGTTCATAGACAACGGCCCACTTAACAGCACAATGGACCCTGATTACCAATCTATGTACCATCTCCCTGATATTAATGGTAGTGATTACCTTCTCAACACCACTTTCTGGTTCGATTTAAGCACTGAGGAGCCAACACCCATTCCACTACCAGGCAGAGCTTCCCTGATTGAAATCATCATACGCGTGGTCAGTCTGATTATCACCCTCTTCGGCAACGCCTTAGTGCTGTACACCTACGCCACAACGAAAAATCTTCGTACATACACCAACTATTACATCGTGGGTTTGGCAGTGGCTGATTTCTTCTCTGGGGGCGTCCTACAAATTATAATCTTCTACCATTCTTTTCTTGGTTACTGGCCCTTCACCGAGGTCGCCTGCACCTGCATGACCTTCATCTCTCACGTTTTCCTCCAGGCCACTTTCTTGATGACGGTGGTGATTTGCTACGATAGGTTTAGGGCTCTCAACATGCCCCTCAAGCACTTGAAGGATAAGACCATGCGCCATGCGTGTTTCCTGATATCCCTTGCCTACATCATCCCGGTACTGCTCTGGACGCCGATCATTGTGGTGTTCCCGTACGTCGGGTTGGCCACACGGATACGTCCCCCGCTGTGCACCGGTCCCTACGCGCTCCACCCTCCCCTACTCATTTTCACAATCCTGGTCCTTTCCTGGATCCCGATGCTGGTGACCTCTGTCCTGTATGCCTTCGTCTATAGTGCCGTCATTCGCAGGGGGGTCAACAAGAAGAGAGGCATCGGCGAGGAGGCCAGCTCCAACAATAAAACCGAGAGTCGCTTGGCCAGTCTCCGTGCAACGCGCACCTTGACGTACATCATGATCACCATGGTTGTGACGGCACTACCGTGGTCCATCTTCGCGCTCTGGGCCGCCATTGATCCCTACACTTTGCCGATCAGAGGCCATTCATTTGATGTAAGTGGTTTTAATTTAGGGTTTGTCCTGACACAGACTTAACCCTAAACGGGCCGGGGGCGGAATCCGCCCCCGCCAACTTTTTCCGCGATAGCCTAAATTTTTTTTTTTTTCGCGACCCAAGCTGTTATGACTTTTTAGCCTCGAGCCTTGCGCATCTTTTGATACCAAAACATAGTGATTTCTACACTTTTCCTCGAAGGGGCCGAACATTGGAAGGAAGTGGTTTCATTTCATTTTGGGGGTTTGTCGACTTCAATTTCACTAAGTGTTGTTGTCGAGTCCATCAGAAGTTCATCATAAGTTCGGCCACAAGTATATCACAATAACAAGTACTTGATGACTTGTGATGGTCTTGTTGGACTTGTGAGGGCCTTTGATCGGTCCCTATGCATTTCGACGTTGTACTGCCGAACGTGGCGCCGACGCAACGTTGACGATCGGCCTTATTTTGACGACAGCTTTCGAAAGTTGAACTGACGTTGGTATTTACATGTAGTTTCGAAGATGGCTATCAGTATTTATGACGTCGGCACCGGCCTGCCAACGCTGTGCCGACGTGAGTGAGCGGTACACAATTGGACGTCGGTCCGCCAACGTTGTAACAACGTTGGCAATCGGTTTGCATTGTAACGCTTTCTTGCCAACGTTTTACTGACGTTGCTTAATTCGACGTTGGTCTTCCAACCTATTATGACGACGTTGACGATTGGTTTGTACTTTGACATCGGCCTTTCAACGTTGTACTGAAGTTGGTATCTCAATATTGGAGGTTAACCTTCAAACATGATGCCAACGTTGATGTTGGATGTCGACCCGCCCACGTTGTTTCAACGTTGACGACGGGTATGCACTTTGACGTCGGCCTGCCAACATTGTCCTCGCGATGGTGAACAGTATGTATTTTGATTTCGGCCTGCCAACGTGTTGTTTCTATATACATGTATATAGCGAGCACCCTTTTTTAAGCATAAGCGAGGACTTAACCCTAAAAAGGCCGGGCTATTTTGACCATCTCTCAGCCGGAGGGGGGCACGGATTCCGCCCCCCCCCTCTTAGATCTCGGCCATCGAGCGACGAAAAATGATGAAACTCGGTACATGCACTTAACAATTTATCATGAACATACCAAGAAATGTCATGACTATAGGTCAAAGTGTTTTGGAATTAAGGGTAATTCATTATTCACATGCATTCTGCTGTGTTTTCTTGTATATGGGGACATGCAGTTTTCACAGCGCATGGCGCCGGAAAATTGTTCACTGCGCGGCAACCCGTTATCCGATTTTTATGTTTTTGGTATCAAAAGATGCGCAAGGCTCGATGCTAAAAAGTCATAACAGCTCGGGTTGCGAGAAATTTTTTTTCAAGGCTATTGCGGAAAAGGTCGAGGGGGGGGGGCGGATTCCGCCCCCTGCCCCTTTAGGGTTAAAGTGTGTATCGTTGATCTGCCTGCGTCCGTGTTCACTAAATATTGGCGAAAAGATTGGAAATTACCAACCTTTCACCAGGGCGGCGGGAAAAGGGGGGGGGGGCGAGGGGCCAATACCCTTGACCGTGACAAGATAGCAATATTACACCCCCACTTTGACCGATTAACGATTAAAGATATAGTCCATCATTTGTAATTTGTGTATTTTGTTCGTTTGAAGCAACAAAAGTGTTCAAAATCTAATGAAGGATACTGAACAACTAACCTGATGAAGTTTCAGCTCAGTTTCAGCTGTATATTCCGAGAAAAACAGCGTTCTAGGATCTCAATTTCAAATCAAAAGTTGCTGAATCATGTTTTGAATTGGGCCTGAATTCAGCGTCCGAGAGGCGTTCTCACTGAGCCGATTGCAGCTATACGCGATGTCGCGCACTGATCCCACGAATTATAGCAACCGTGGGCACGTGTGCGTCGAGCCAATGCTTGCGCGCGCTTCGCCGAATAACAAAACGAACTTCTAATTTAAATTTTCCTACGGTGCGTCTTAAGACGAACCGTTGGAAAGGCCTTCTTTCGTTGATTACTTCAAAATGACAGCTTGCCAGAAAGAATAATTTCACAGGGAGTTAAGTCCCCTTACTATCTTTCAACCAAGTATGTTTTTCAACAATAATTACGCCAGTTACTTTTCGGATGGCTGCAAATGATGGACTATAGCTTTAAGCTGTTGAGGGCATATTGTCTCCTTTCATGCCTGAAAAAAAATGGGTCGGACATAATCGGCCGACGTTGCCGATCGAAGGTATTTTGATGTCGGTCTTCAACGTTATGCACTGACATTCTTTGTGTGTTAGCGCACTGCAGACGTCGTGTCGACCTTTGCGATCGGTATACATGTTGACGTCGGCACGTCCATGTTATGTCGACGATGGTGAACGGTAGGTATTAATATTGAAGTAGACTAGGACAACTGGGGGCGCTGCGCGTAGTTATAATATACAAATATTGAGTGGCTCAGCGTGGAATTGGAGGAATATTATCGCAAGGTAAAATCTGGACTTTTCCATTTCACGAGGCGAAGCCGAGTGAAATGGAAAAGTTTTACCGAGCGATAATATTCCTCCCATTTCACAATTTAAAGCCACTCAATATTTGTTTTATATAACTGACATATAGATCCTTGTCATTTGATATATTTGAACTTTTATTTCAATACAAAACTGGATGGAAATGTATTTCTCTCTTCCAAACCACCCCTTCACGAAAATGTTTGAACCCAACGCTGTAGCGCTGGCTCTTTGGAACAATACGCGCTTCGCGCAACGCTGAACGCGCACACCAGCATGCAATTGCACCATAGAGCTATATTAAATTACTAGAGCACTAACTTCGTGTACAAAGTAATGCCTGCTGGGCGCATCCATGTTTGTGCACAAACACATGGAAAACTCAAAATTTTGTACGGCTTATGTACAGCTATTTGCATATCTGCGTTTGTATTCTATGCGTTACCGAAGCGGATACGCCCAAAACCGAAACGCACGATCAGCAAACGAGCGTCTCATTTTGCTCTACGCAAACAGCGCAACTTGTGCGCGTATTCGCTGCAGATAATTCATCCATTTCACGAAAGTTGCGATGTGTTGAACGCGTCGTAAGTTCCTTTACAACGGCTTAAAACACGTCGCAAGCTACGACGTGTCTAGTGGTCGTCGCAAAATAAGGAGAGTCAATTTTTAGCCAGTTTTGTGCCATAAACATTACATAAACTAGATTATAATACCGAGGCAAGGTGTGTAAAGTTGTGAATAGAAAATTCATTGAATAATTATGCGATAATATTACATTATCGCACGGCCGCCATTTTGTCCTACTTTTTAACAAATTTCGAGCGGAGATTCGACGACTCTTTGTTGAATACCAGACGACTATTTACTGTACGCTGACTTTATACATAAAACAGTCACCGGGTGAGTTGTGCTATAAATACACATAAAAGTATACGACGCGTCGCACTTACGACGTGTTTTGTGAAATGGATCGCATACGCGCGCAGGACGCGTCGCAGCTACGACGCTTCGTAGGGATACGATGCGTCGCATCGTATTCATTTTAAGAATGAAATTTAATTACACTCCCATGTTCCGGCCTTCTGAATACATTGGTGGATTAGGGAAGATGGCTTGAGGGGTACGCATGATGGGTGTGTTGGTTGTGCCTATTTCGAAATAGCGTCGGGGATGTTTGGCCTCAATTTGACGCTAAGAGTTGTGGCGTAACCAGGCTGGGAGGGGGGCATTGGTAGATGGCAACATAATGGAGATCTTAAAAGCGAAATCGAGAAAGCTGATAGAAGCGACATCGGACGGTGAAAGTTATATTTGCAACGGGCAATACACAAAACCACTGCTTCTCATAGGGAAACGAGATGGGTAAACCGTACGGGGTACTAACGATTAAAAACAAAATCCTAAAGTTGATCATGCTCCACCCATTTTTTTTTCAATATTGTGAGATTCTTGCGCCTTCTTGAAGATTTTCAGATGCTGGATACGTCACTGGAGGAGAGAACAATGACACAAATTTATTTGATCTATATTTTGGTGAAGGGTGAAGGGCTGTGGGAGGGGCGTGCATCCCCCCAGTATCCAACAGTGCAAAACTGTATCTGATAACGGCGTATGTAATGTCCTGAGGAGGGACAATGGAGAACTTCTGGGTGTTGTGCCTTAACAATGAAAAAAAATAACACTTAAGGCCCCCCAAAAAAGTCTCCGGTTTCTGGGATGGAGCTTGTCCAAAAAGTGGTGCGGCGACGCGGCTTTTTTTTTTTTACCTGATTTTTTTTGCTTCAAATGTCGGCTGAAGACTGCAAATGGTGCCTGACTAAACTTAGTGCAAATATATGGGAGTCCAGAGAGGCCACATAAAGCTTATTCTCGATCATAACCCCATCCAAAAACACGTTAAAATTGTGCAGCAGCAGGATTCCAGTCAAACCTTTCATCTTTCATTGAAAAAAAACTTTTTCATTTTGCCGACGCGCATGACTACGGCGACGAGCGCATACCAGAAACCGGAGACATTTTTTGTGGCCTAAACAACTGGAAGCAAGGTTTAAAAAACGGGAAATAACTACGAGAAATAAAATGGACCAAACTTCGAAACGAACAAGCGGCTTGATTACCCATTTTACATTTTGTTGGGGAAATAACTACTACAGGTCCAAAATATTACTTTTACGGACATAAAAATATATCTTTCCCAGCCTCGACTCCATGGGCGCGTGCGCGTTCCTTACACTAACCCCTGGCCGTGATGATGACGTAAATGACGCTGATTGGCTATTCACAGCGTACTGCGCGCGCATTTCGAAGATTGCACGCAGGGCGCGCCCATAATGCGCTCGCGTGCTTTGCACGTAAACGTCACGTACGAGAAAAAAATTGTTATTCAAAGTCGCAATGCCTGTACGATATGGATTATGGCAGCCTCGTTTTTCGCTAAAGAACCCTGTATCTTCGGTTGTACACGGACGAAAGCAACCTCGTCCCCAGTGCTTACTTTATTTCCAACCTCGTTTCCAATAGTAAACCCTGGATAGGAAACT